ATGATGGGGGCTCGATCGCACGCTGCCACCACTTTTGAGACGCAGCCTGCCATTGCTCGGAAATGCTACCCCCAGGGCGGAACTGCACCCCAAGGTGCGCAGTGGCGGGCTGAATGTCAAAACGCGCGAAGGCTGGCGCATCTGTCTCTAGCAACGAGCGGATGTTGTGCACCGCGGTGTCTGAGCATTCGGACCAGAGAGGGGCGACGCAGCTTTGGGAAGCCTGGGGCCTGCGGCGCGCGCGCCGCTCGATGTCTGCATAATGCGGGGCTAGAGCTGGGAGCGCGCCGAGCTGGGGGGGGCAGAGCGCCGACGTCATCGGCGCAACCTCCAGGCTCTCAAGGGCGCTCCCAGAGGGCGGTATTTCAAACACGTCCGAAAGCAACCTCGGAACAAGGTCGAATATCAGAGCCCACGCAGTTCCCGAGAGGGGGCAACCATGGGACACTCCACTGCACATGTAAAACATAAAGAGAAGCTGCCCGCCTAATCAGCCATAGCCTCTGGGAGCGATTTTGACTCGAGATGGTGAGTCCCCCGTGAATCGGAGTGGAGACCTCTGATCCGGGGCCGACAAGGCAGTTTTGCCTGGCAGTCTTTCGCGGCCTTCCCTGCGGGACTTGGGCCCCCGCCGCCCAGATGCTCGCGCCTTCCAAACTCTCTGCCGCGCAGTCGCGCCCGCGGGTAAACTGTGGAATGCCCCATTCCTTCCCGCGCGACTGCGGGCGCCGCGCCGTCCTCCCCGAGGGGCAGCGGCGACCATGCGGGGCCACCGCTCGCTGCCGCCGCCGCCGCCACCGTGGACGCCACGGCCAGTGACGGCCCCCGCCTCGCGAATCTGGAGGCGGCCCCCCCTTTCCCCGGCCGGGAGTTGCGTGGGTCTGCAGCTGCTGCTTCGCTCGCGGCCCCTGCGGCCACCCCCCTGCGGGAGTAGACCCACGGCAGGCCCCTGTCGGCGCCGGCCCGCGGCGCGGATCCCCCGTCGCCCCCGACGTGGAGAAGCAGTTCGAACATCTCTTCCAGCCCTGGCTCTCGCCCGCAACCGCCCAGCTCCAGAAAGTTTGCGACGACGTTCTCCAGGGGGCCCAGGCGGACTTCACGGTGAGTGCGCGGGCGCGCATTGCCCTGGCCCAGCAGACCAACCAGCGCATCGATCACTGGGCCCGCCACGTCGCCGACATCCAGCAACATCAAGCCAATATGGAGAGCAAGATCGCGTCCGAGATGCCGTCGCGAAGCTGGGGCACGCCCTGGCCCTCGCCGAAGCCGACGCCGCCAAACTGGTCGAACGGGAGCGGCCCGCACACCCGACCCTGTTTTCGATCGGCTCGCCCTCTGCGATCTCTCCGACGGAAGTCAGGCGCAGCGCCCTGGAGTGGCTCCAGGACGCGGGCATCACCCACTAGCAGGTCCACCTCATTGGCGACTTTCCCTCCTGGCGCTTCATCCTCCGTACCATTAGCTCCGACGAGGTTGCCAGGCCCCGCGCGATTGCTCTGGCCCAGCGGCTTCGCGGCCCTGGAGGGCGGCGCTCGCCCAGTGCCTCCAGCGCCCAATTCGCCCAGACCCCTCTCTAACTCTGCCCGAGGATGTCTGGCTTGAGATCCACGCCAAGAAAGCCGAAAGAGTCCTGCCCTACCATGATTCGCAGAATCGCTTCACGTGCCAGCGCAACAACGGCATGGTCTTCGTCAACGACGCCCCTCCGCTCGTCCCCACGGTAGACCGCGTCAATGATCCGACCACAACTGTCTGGCATGCGCCCGCCGTGGTGCAGTTTGACATCGACAAGTCCGTCGCCGCCGCGGCCTTTGCCCGCCTCGCCAACGGGGTCTTGCACAGTCGCTGGACCCCTCGGGACTGGTTGCCTGTCAAGCAACCTGGCAGGATAGTCTGGTGGAATGCCAGGGTCTTGCCCGTGTCGATCCAGTTCGTCGGAGTGCTGGGTTTCGTTTGCTGTGTCCCCACTTCAAAGATCGAGCGGTCATGCTGATTCGAGAATCCAATGGTAACGCAGAGCAGCCTCAGGTTCCTCTCCATTGCACTCCCTCCCATTGCAAGCTCTTCCGATCTGCGACCGACAGGCCTTGCGCCAGTGGCGTCGCAACCCTCTTGCCTTGGATCCCTGAAGCTCGCGATGCTGGTCTTCCTCGGCCCCATGGGCGCCCGCCTCTCACTCGCGAGGTTCTCATCCCTGGACGCGCCCGGCCTCTTAAGTCACCCGCCCTCGCGCGCCGTGCGCGATGGCCAGCGCTGACGCGCGCAACTACGAGCTACCCCAAGATGCCCCACCTGGCATTCGTCAGCGCTGGCGTCAGCTGCCTCCACAGTGCCGCGAGTGCCCGCCCACGAACGCCTTGAAGGCGCTGGGTGACTTCAACATTGAGGACGCCGCCTTATGAGATGCATGCCCCTCTAGAACACTGATTATGAAAAATGCACCTAGGTACCTGTTACATATAAACCGAGGTATGATACGAAGTACGTGCAAAGTACGTGTTTGATATCGGCGCCGCGAGGGCCACTAGCAGTGGACATCGAAAAAGTACCAGCCGTTTTGGGCAGGGATTGAGTAAGAACGTAGACATCGTTAACGTAGCCGCCCGACTTGTAACTAGCAGTTACATGACGCATGCAACGCAGCACGCAATGCAAGACACCAGGCGACGTTATGCAATTTACCGACTGCGACTGCGAGTATGCAACCACCAAAGACATGTCAATGAGGCCCAGAGACGGGTCCACGACGGCCCATACGCTCCCAACCTTGCTCTGGCAAGGCCAACGAATCGGCTTGAGTGCTTCAAGACGGCCCCAATATGGCTTCCAAGGCGGCACGCAGAGCCCGAGAGACGCCAAGCTGGTCTCAAGATCTTCCCAAAACGGCTCCAGATATACCGAAGACGGCCCAAGATGACCTCCCAAAGCTTAACCCTAGATGCCCCTCAGAAGGCCCATTGATAGGCTCAAGCGTTCCACGAGAGGCAGCCAGTGCTCCCTTGTCTCCCCCTGGCTGCCTCTCGTGGGACTCGTTCCCATTTTTTGTCAGCAGCCGCGTCGCCACCTGCAGGCGGTCGCCGCAGCTGTCCTGCGGCCCGCGCCTCTCAAGGCAACTGGGCGGCGGCGAACGCCCACTTCCGCGACGACACCTGCATCTCGGAAGGGATGTCGCCCAGCCTCGGGTGCTCCGTGATCGTCTTCAGCGTCTTGCGGAGCCCCCTTCGCAACTTGGCATCGTTCTCGTCCTTCTGGTGCACCTCGTAGGCGTGGAGGCACTTTGCCGTCGCCCTGGTGACACAGCTCGTTCTCGCCACAGTGTCACTGGATTCAAAGATGGCGGCCTCAGCAGGACACAGGAAGAGCTCGTGGGCGGCGGCCACCTGCTTCTGAGACGTCTCTAGATCCTTGATCATTGCAGTGAAGTTGTTGCCGTCGAGCTCAGCAACCACTGTCAGGAACGCCTTCCTGACCGTGGCGAAGTCGTCGCCCTTGTCGGCAGGGGCGTCGGCAGTCCAAGAAGTTCCCTCAGTTGGCCCCAGGTGAGCGAGGCACTTGAGCTTGTCTGTTGCGGTCTCCATGGCATCAAGCGTCCTCTGCAAGTACGTAACCCGAAAATTAGCAGTCATATCTTCCATCTGGCTGCTGAAGTCACTCATCCCCTGGCACGGCGGCCTCTCACCGACCTTCTGAAGACGTAGAGCCGTGCCGTTCAGCAACGCTTTGATGGCGATGGCCGAGTCCTTCGCAGAAATCCTCGCAGCTAGATCGGGCCCAAGCGACTCGAACTTTGCCAAGCTCTTGGATGCATCAGTCCACGCAGCCATGCACTCGACGAACTTGCTGACTGAACTCTTCAATGTGACGTCAACAGTCGCTGAAACCAGATCACGCACCGACATGGCCAGCTGAAGGAGCGGGTCGAGGCTAGATCGAGTCTCACCAAGAGCATGCTTAGCGAAGTCGAACACAATCTCGGCGAGACAAATGCTGCATTTCCTCGGGCCCACGGACCAACTCCTGTCCCTCCCGTCCGCCTTACCTGGCCCACCATGCCTATCCGCCCTCCCCCATCTGCAGCATTTGACTCACTCTGTCAGCCTGGATGAACTCCGAGAGCTGCTTCAAGGACTCCTCGTCGAGCTCCACGCCCGCAGAGCTGGCATCCTTCACGGCGCAGTCGACATCTACCACGGCTTCCATGTTCACCGACGTCGGCTGCAAAGTCCTGTACTTCTCGAGCACGGTGGTCAGGTTCTCCGCGTAGTCAGCCTTGCCAACCGCGGCCATGGCTACTTCGCAAGCCCTGAGGTGCGCCATCCAGAACTCCACATTGGCGGGCAGGACGGTGCACGCCTGCTTGAGGCACTGTTCTGCCAACACCAACTTCTTGTAGGCATCGTTGTCGGCGGTGCTCGGGTTCGCGATGTTCAGGGAACGAATGAAGCCGTCGAGCGACTCAGTCAACAGCTCGGCTAGGTGCTCGAATGTCCCTGCCCTGCACTTGGTGCTCGTTTGCTCCATCAGCGCCAGCATACGTGCAATAAAAAACACTCCTCCCAGCGGAAGCTGCGTCCTTGCGAAGCTCCGCCTCCTGCGCAGGGAGGCCGGAAAGAAACTCCTTGGTGAAATCGTGTTTCGCGCCAAACTCCTTCAGTAGCCCGTCGTAGTAAGGCATGAACATCAGAGATTGGCACACCTTGTATGGCACGCGCTTCTTGTCTCCTTTGTCCTTGCTGGCGCCGATGGCAAACATGCGAATCAGCTCAGGATACCCGTCCACGAAAAAAAAGATCCGCCAACGCCTTCAGGCCCTTCACGGACAGCTCCAGGTCGGTCACCGTGTTGTCGAAGTCCTCGCAGTCCTCCCGATCCACGATCATGGCGCAATAATTCAGGCTCGCGTCCGCGATGATGTGCACGGCTTTCTTCCCAGGCTCGCCCAGCTTCATGGCGCTGGACAAAAGCTTTTCCGACATCATCTCGAAATTGTTGATCTTCTCCTAGTTCGAGCAGTCTAGGAGGCCGATGCGCGGCTTGTTCCCATCGAGCGTCTTCTCGGACCCGCTCCACGGCACGATGGCCTGGATGAACGTGTTTGCGTCGTGGGACTTCAGGGCGTCCCCCAATTTGTCGTCGCAATACCTGCGCCAAAGCTGGAACTTCATATTGTTTGGGATGAACACCCCACCGTCTTGAAGCTCCTTCACAGCGGTCTCGAGCATGCCAGCGCCCATCTCTGAAGTGGAGCTGCTGACCAGGTTCTCGGCGTGCTTCGCGAGGTCCAGGTGCTTGGACAGGGCATTGGCCCTGACGTCGCCCTCGCGCAAGAAGAGATCGCGGGAGTCGCTGCACCAACGCCTCTCACGGCCCATGTTCTCGTTCCTCATGATCTTATCGATGTCGTAGGCGTTGATCCTCCGCTGCACGAGGTCGTCTCGAGCTGCATCTGTGATCGGCAAGCCGTCCTCCATGGGCACCCGCTTGCCCCCGCTGCCCTTGCCGATGCCGCCTGCCGCGCTCAGAGAGACGGCGCTCGCAGCATCCTCGCCAACTCGGGAAGCACTAGAGCCGCGCCTCTTCACAGCAGGAGTCAGGCCAACCGACGACATGCTATCCAAGACCGCGCGGCGATTGAGGTAGCGCGCGGGCAGTCTGACCTGCCTCCTCCGCATCTGCAGCCGCGCCCTCGTCGAGCTCCCCCTCACCGGCCTCGTGGTCGGCCACGTCGGCAAGATTGGCAACGTCCTCAGGCGGCTCGTGGCGAGCTGGTGGGCCAAAGGTGCGGGCGGCATCCTCGTCCACGTTGCCGAGGTGGCCCCTGAGCATCGCTGGCATGGGGCTGCAGTTCATGGGGTGCACGTCGACCCCGCGATACTCGCTGGACTTCTTGGCCAGGTCTGTGAGGTCCCATGGCGTTGTCCTCATCTTGACTGCAGCATCCTTGACATCCTTTTCCTTCTGCATCTCGGCCTTGGCGAAATCGAAGACGACGTCCGCATGGTGCTCGTGCACCTGGCCGGCGCTGCCCATTGCGACTGTAGCCCTCTCGACGCCGATTGTCTTGGTGAAGTTGAACTCCGTGAACGGCCTCGCTGGGTTCGGGATCAGCAACCCTTTGTACTGGGCGTTGTTGACGTCCACGAGATCCTGCATCTTGACGCCTATGCGCTCTGGCGAGACAGACAGTAGATCCTTCAGCTGAGCCCGACTCGGGCCTGCCATGCTCTTCGTCACTGTGCACTTGTAGATCTTGCTTTGCTGGACCTGCGTGGGCAGCCAATGTTTCTCGCCGCTTGTCTTGGTCTCCTCTGCGCTGGTCCACGCCTCTTGGATCGCAGTGTCCTTGTCCTTCTTCGCATTAAACTCCCGCCAACTGCCGTAGGTCGTGAAGCCAGAAAGGTAGAGCTCCCAGTGGAACGCGCAAGCGTCGGTCACCCCAACTGGAAACTTCGACGTCGCCGAGGGTGTAGCGCCACAATGAAAGCAACATGGGCCTGAAGCCTTGTCACGGGCGGAGGCCCCACGAGCAGTCGAGCCTGCAGCAGCAGACTCCTCATTCTCGCCGTTGTGCCGAGCGAGGGCGCCTGCGGACAGGCGTGGCGCCTCCCTGGCACCACGAGACGCCTTCTCCGGGGTATCATCGCCCCTCTTGCGGGCTCTCTTGTCGGGCATTTTGCGCGATGCCCTGAGCGCCTGGCTGGAGTAAAAAACTTGGTGGCCCGTGCAACCCGCAGCTGCTTTTGGCTAGAGCCCGAATGGCAATGAGCGGAGGGTGTGTCACACCGCATTTGCACAATCATTTGGAATGGGAAGGGCCTCTCGCCCGCTAGATAACATCACGCCCCGAAGAGCGAAGCATTCTGCAAAACGATACCAATCCAGGCCGTACGTAATCAATATGCTCAGGGCACGACCGCCCGAATGCAAAAAGAGGTCGGTAAGATGATCAGTGTGAGCAGTCCAACCGAGCCCCCCCCCCCCCCAATGTGAAATCCAAGGGGTGCCTCATATGCAAACCTTGTGTTGTTGCCTATGGAGCCCCAGCGTTTATTTAGTTGCAGGGAATGCGTTGGCCCTTGGGCCCCATGTGGCCTCAGTGGTACTAGATGCGCAAGTGTATGTCAGGACTGAATGGCACATCAATCGGAATTTCATGTGTACACGCATGCAAATAGGCGAACGTTATGTGTTTGATACTCTTACCACAAGGTCATGTATCTGCAGGGTTCCCTTGCTTGCATGGCCCCTAGTGCCAAGACGCCTAAGGCCCCAAGCTCTCACATGATGCCGACTGCTACCAGACGGTAAGACGCGCAAGACCCTCAGACACCCTTAAAGTGTAGTTCCCTAAGGCCTCGAAGACGCCTCCTCAGACCCCTACGCGCACTAAGACATCCTAAGACACCCTAAGACGCCCTAACACGACCTGATATCCCTAGACACCCCAAGAGCCCTAAGGCCCCTAGACACCTCAGACGCCTCAGGCCCCTAGACACCCTAATACCCCAAGACATCCTAAGACGCACATGGTCCCAAGACACCGCACACGCAGAGAAAGCCGTTAGGCCCCAAGGATGGTGGCTTCGAGGGTACCCGTTGAGACCCCATGGAGACCTCTTTAGACCCAAAGGATGGCCTCGAGGGTGAGCCTCGTTCATTTCCACCGATCAGAAGCGGCGAAACGATCTGAGATTGAGCGCAACGTGCCTCGAACGAGATCGAGGCCAAGGGCATCCTCACGCCCGACGCGGGCTTCGGGCGTCCTCACGCCTGAAGCCCGCACGATAATTCACACCATATCAAACTGAAAGTGTGACTGGCTGAAGGCGGCAGCAGGGTCAGAGAGCACAGCACCTTCACCTTCCTCCCCGTGGCATCCTCCTGTTCTGGAACGAAGACAGCCCTTCTGTTCCGGAATGAGGACATCGTCCCTCCTCCATCTTACTCCTCCCCCCCCCTCTGCAGGCTTACATGTTGGAGCCACCTAGCACTGCCTGTCATGATACACTTGCGTCTCCACAACAGTATCCGACGATGCGAACTCTTCCACCACAGTGGGCGCATGCACGAGGCGATGGCCATGCATCGCAAATGGGCCCATGCCCTCATCAAGAGGAGCCTGGCACGCTGAGGCAAGGTCAGACCCTTGCAAGGCGGCAGACCCTGAAGAGGCGGCACCAGGCGCACCGCTGCAAAACTCAGGGTTGAGAGGCCAATTGCGCCTCTTCGCAGAAGGAACCTCGGAAGCGCCCCCTGGCGCAATCGACTCGGCGCCGTCGGCTGACGCCAGCCGCTTGGCACTGACGCATTCCTTCGGAATTGCCACACGAGAAGGAGAGGGAGACTTCGACTCATTGGCCTTGGGAGAGTCCCCAGGGCTGCTGATGTCAATCAGCTGGCCAAGCTTCAAAGTAGACTGGAGTTTGGGGAGCCAGGCACTCGGAGGCTGAGGCCCCCCAGGCTGCGAAACAGAGCTGGCCTTCGCTGAGCATGCCGCTCCGCCAGGCCCCTCTTCGCCTGGCCCCTTGACCTCGCTGGGAGAGCCCTGTGTGGCAGCAACAACACCGTCACTCACTTCACTCATCTCGGGGAGGGGGCTGACGCCTAGTTTCCACTGGCTCATCACGACGGCCTCTTCATCACCACCCTCGGGGACTCCTGCAGCACCGACACTGCCGCTGGCTGGCGCTGGCGTCGGCACTGCCGCTGGCACTGGCGTTGGATCGGCTGACCAAACGTTCGGCATTGCCGAATTCAAGTCGCGAGCGTGCTGCTGCTCAAGCTCCTCTGGTGGAACCTCTTGCGCCCCTCTCAGGTGCACTGTACATGGCAAGTTGCCAGTGCAGGTACGAAACCATGTTTGCGGCATGCTTGGCAACCGAAACGTTAGTTGGAGGTGGCCACTCGTTTCGAAAGACTCAATTGCGCGGCCCTCCATGCCGAGGAGGTAGCAAAACAAGACTACGCAATTGCTTGGCAAACGCGGCTGCGACTACGAAAAACAATGATTAACAACGATGGTGATGGATGGTTGCATGAACCGTGTTCCAATTCCTTCGCGTGTTCCTACGCATGCAGTGCACCATAGACGAAACACAACCACCGAACATGCAAATACACCCCAAAGGCCCAATGCCTCCAGACATCCCCAAGCGCCTAAAGCCCCCAGGCACCCTCAGACGCTGAACCCCCAAGACACCCCAAGACGCCGCAATGCCCCCAGACACCAAGAACCCCCCCAAAGTTGCGAAGCCCAAGACGCCAGAGGACCCGAGGCGCCCCATTGTTGACTTAGCGCGCGCGAATCAAATCGTCGAGCCCCACGGAGGAAGCATAAGGCATATGGAATCACTTGGCGGAAACACGCTCATACGTTAAATGTTGCCAGGTAAGTAGCTCCAGAAAACCACGGCTGCAGGGCAACGGTGGCGGTCCCGTGCTCCGGTTGGAAACCAGTCTGGTTGGGTTGGAATAAATGCGGCCCGCCGCATCAAAGATATCAGGGCAAAACATTAAGCTGAAGCAGAAGCAATGGTTCGGGTGGGGGCGGGGGCTCGGGCTACAGTTAACGCTAAGGCTAGGGCTAGGGCAATGGCTATGGGGAGCCAGGGGCCACGGCTAAGGCTAAGGTTGTGGCCAAGGCTAGGGCTGAGGCTAGCGTTAGAGCCATCGGCTACGGCTAGTGCTAGGGCCAGGGCTGAGGTGAAGGCTTTGGCCAGGCCCAAGGCTAAGGCAAGGGCTAGGGCCCAGGTAAGGGTTAGGGCTACGCTAAGGCTAGGGCCAGGGCTAAGGCTCGGGCCACGGCTACGGCTAGGGTTCGGGCTAAGTTTGAAGCTAAGGCGATTGCACCTACATGATGAACACCCACTTGAAATACAACAGTGCTCGCTGTCCGTCGAGCTGCTCGCCTTTGTTCCAACTTACTCTCGGACGCACGCATAGCAGAACCCTTCTGGGCAAACTACCTAGACTCGCGAACGATCCAACCGAAAGCCTCTGGCGTGAGTCTGGAAACATCCCACCAGCGCGCCACCTCCCCTGCAACACCCACCAATCATATGCAAACGAACCAGCCTGTTTGCAACGCATCCAGGCGCGAAGACCTACAAAATTCCTTCGTCGACAAGACCCATGCGAGCCTTCGCGGGACCATTCCGCTTGCCGAGTCGAATGCACTTGGGCCCGCCAGCATCGTCGATGCGACAACGCTGTCCTATGCCCTCCGCCGTGCGCGGCAAAGCACGCCCGCGCGCCGCGGCCCCAGGATATGGCCACGTGCAAACTGCGACGCAACAAACACAGCTGCCCCACCACATACAATCGCGCGCTAGCCCCCCACAAATCCCTGGCAATGTGCCCGCGCCGCAGCCCTGTCGCGGGCAACCACATGCCTAGCCGCGCCCCGTATTTAACGCAACCTGCTGCGCCGCTCGCCATGCAGCCCTACGTCCCTGCCAAACTGGTGGAACCAGGATCGGCAACGCGCACCGACGGAGGTTCAATCGCCCGCAGCGTCGGCGCGGCCTCTGGAAATTGGACGGGGCTAGCCAGGTGTAGACCCCCTTGTGCGCGCCCCTATTGCTGCGCCGCGCAGCGATACCTGCTGCCGCGAGCGGCATAGGCTGGGAACACGCAGCGCGACCTGCCCGCGCGCGCCGAGGTAGGGCAGGGGGGGGGCACGGCTGGCGGGGGGGTAGATTGTGAGTGTGCAGGCGCACCTGGCAAGTACCTGCCAAGTACCTGTTAAGTACTTGCTGAGGCAGCGGCCGATCCTGGGGCACCTCGGGAGGTACCTGCTAAGTACCTGCTGGGTACCTACCAGAACGAGCGCCACCCGCAAGGTACCTGCGAAGTACCTGTGGCGAACGTGGCGCCGCCGCGAAGTACCTGCGAAGTACCTGCGAAGTACCTGCGAAGTACCTGCGGTACCTGAAAAGTACTTGCGAAGTACCTGCTGCGCCTGAAAATTACTGCGAAGTACCTGCTAAGTACCTGCTAAGTACCTGCGGCGAAGTACCTGCCAAGTACCTGCGAAGTACCTGCTCGGTACCTGCTACGAACCCAGGGTAGGTGCGAAGTACCTGCGAAGTACTTGCTCGACGCCCGTCGCGGTGCGACGGCACCTGGGAAGTACTTGCGAAGTACATGCTCGGTACCTGCTGGCGAACCGCCTAGGAGTTGACGCGCGCGCAAAGTACCTGCTGGGAGGTGCGGCCACCTGCTGGCACCCCTTGCAATAGCTGCAAGGGGGCCGCGGGTTGGGGCGCGCACCCGCAGGACACTTGCTGGGTGCCTGGCTATAATGCTCAGGCAACCTATAAACGCAGGCCATGCCGATGGCGGTGTACAAAGGCATGCAAAGTGGCGCTGCGAACATGCTCCACATCTGGTCCTGCGCGTGAACATGGGGCACAAAGCGTAACAGAAGAAAAGAGGCGGCCTTCACCAGCACTTGCAATTGGCGACACGCCTGCCCCAATCGCAGGCGCCCGTGTCCACGCTCGCCGCCTGGGGGCTCGGGGGGGAGGGAGGAAGGAGGTAGCAAGGCAAACGAAGGCGATGTGAACATGCTGCACAATCCTCCGCGTGAACATGTGACACAATGCGTGGCACGACATGTTGATGTGTGAACACGCACACAGCAAAATGCTGCATAACTGCTAATGGCGCAC